ACCCAGTAACATTTCACATGCAGAGGCTGGGCCTTGTGGTAAGAGACGTGTTGTAATTGCTGCGGAGCGACCGAAGGGAGCGAGCAGCAACATAATCAGGATTTAAAGGAAATATATAAGGGGCGACGAATTCTCGAATTCATCACTTTTTACCACAATGCATTGCATTTAACCACACTTTTTACCACAATGCATTGCATTTAACCAGAGTGCATTGCGCCACGAACAACTCAAATAAAAACACGGGGAAGTTCGGTGGGTGAGAGAGTGCATCGTTCGCTGCTCAGACTTAGAGTTTTCTTTGTGGCAAATTTTCTACAGCACGGTTAGAGGTCTTACCAAATTTTAAGACACGCAGGAGTCTTTCAGATGAGTACGATGGTTAACTTGGGGATTGGATTTCAATTCAAGAGCCTTTTTTGACTCAAGAGCCTTTTTTGCTCTTCGACTCCGCAACACGGGGGATATACAAATTCCAGCTTGCTAGAAGGTGATGTGAAAGTGAGAAAATGTCATGCAATGCTATTCTTAAGAAACTGTATGAGCCGAAAATGGATGTGATTTTGACCATTCGCTTCAAAATAACAGCGGAAATCGAGATAACAAAACATATGTTTTGTGTCCTACTTTGCAGACGAGGACGTGTATCGGCGTTTTGAAAAGCATAATTATGTTCTTTCATTCATTTATTGCCATGGAATATGCGTTTACATTGTTTTTTTCACTGTTAATAGCTCGGTTATTATTATATGCGGCTGGCGATCATCTTGCCGGCGGAAGTTTCATGGAAAAGGAATAAAATGAAAGACTTTTCCTATAGATTATGTAATAAGTCTCTGTGGTGTAGTGGTTGAGTGGCGTCGCGTCGAGTCGATGGGGCCGGGTTCGAATCCTACTGAGTTATTTATTCCTTCTTTCTTTTTTTTCCCCGTTTTTTGTGTTGTTGTTTTCTATAAATATATAGCTAAATAATTGTTACTTAATAAAGTGCAACAAACAGCAAGAAAAGTATTGTGTTTGCGGAGAAAATATCGTGCACCGTATATTAAATATATGGATAAACGATCTGAATTTCTATTATTTCCTACAAGTTACTGTGGGAAAACCAGAGTTGATAACCACTTGATCATTTTTTAAACAACGTTCCCACGAGTTCTTTCTATAGACTGATAGTAATTATTCTAGTACTTTCCAACATGTAAATAGGACATTCAATGTCATTTTTGATTCTTTTAAGTCTCACTGCCTAACTAATGCCAGTATCAACAGAATGTGCCGCAGCATTACTATCTTTTAGATACCCTAGTTATATTTTATTCCTTGGTGTTTCCGGCGGTAAACACATATCTTTGATTCCTGTTTGTTTCTGGTTTTAGTCTTTCTCATGTACGAACTTTATTATTTTGTTCTAGGAAATCCCATTCGTGTCAATAACACTGTGAAAGGTACGTCTCGTGGTAATAAGTCGCCGGCAACTGACCCGACCATCCCCGGCCTATAAAGTGCTATAAAACTGATGATAGAAACATCTATATTTGTATTGTATTTCACAACACTGTAGCCTCCCTTGAGCTTGTTAATCAAGGGACTAAGGCGTTGATCGAGGACCCTGGAAGGTGAAAACCATTCCTTATCTGTTATATGTATTGATCGATAGGCACTTTAGGGTCAGAGGCACGTTGGATGTTTCACATTTCTCTTTGGGTCCTTCATCAAATTAAGGAAAGAGTGTGCTTCGCCTGTTTTTGTGTCGAGGTTCACCTCGAGTACTGTGATTAGAGATCCTGTTTGACTGTACCATTTCTTAGCTAAACGCTCATAATATAAAGTAGCAGTGCAGGCGTATTAACATTTCCGGTGGGCGAAATCCTTTTTATGTTCATATTGTTGTCGCCGCCATCTTTGATTTTGTGACAGAGGAAGATTGGGGGAGTAGAAATAGCACCCCTTAGGGTAGGTGCGAGGGCGAAAGAAGGAGAGGGGGGAGGGGGTTAGGGTTAGGGTTAACATTCGCGCGCCCGAAGAAAACGCCTGCACTGCAGGCTAAATATAAAGGTCCATCTCATCTCCATGTAAGCGACAGACGAAGTAACTCGAAACGAAAGACAAAACTCAAAGCTTTTTTTAAACTTTACTTTCTCTTTTTTCTTGTTAGGTCGTCTTCATAAATACTGTCGCGCTGACGAAATGCCGCAAGAGACGTGTTTCATGGAATGCAACTCCTGCGTCAAAAATGGAGGCATCTGGTGTCCAAAGGGTCACGTGGTTGTCTGGATCAATGGTGTCAGGTTAACAAATTTTGCTTTAAATCTGCCACCTTTTACAAATGATGTGGAACCTTTGTCGTTAGAAATAAAGTCCAGAAAGAAAAAGAACCTCAAATGTATGCTATGTTCAAATGAATATTAAAATAATTATTGTAGCCATTATCAATACCTTATTAGCCATCCATGAACGAAAATTCCATGAAATAAAAGTGAAAATCCTTTCACGTCATTGCAGGTCAGCCTTAAGTACAAAGAGAGGCTTCTGCTGGCCAGGTAAATACTTAATATAAGCGTTACTTAAGCCTAGCGTTCCTTATCTCGGTGCGCGGTCTTGTAACCATCTTTGTCTTTCAAATGTCATTCACCAGCCACTGATCTCTCATTGACTCCTGAAATTAAATTCTAGGGGGACTGTTCACTTTAGATGCTACGAAAGTTCAGACGTTTCTTACCGGTCATGGAAGTGCTGAATTTCAAGCACATTGTGATTCGCTTGTGCCGATGTACAAACAGTGTTCAGGTATATAGAGACTAAAAGCCCCTGTTCAATTGTTCCAAGGTGTAAGACTCTTTATGTGGTATCACGTCACCTCCGCTTTTACATGTGGCAATGAATGGCTGAAAAAAGATCTCCCTCTCACATTCCCGTGCAAGTTGAACTTTTAATGTCCCCTTGAATGAGTTTTTTGAATTATTCTCTCCTCGTACAAGTCACGCTAAGCTCTTTCCAGGTATACTTACACTTAAACAATGTATCCAACGATGCCATTCAACTTTCTCTCCCTTCAGGAGACCTATTAAGTTAGGTTAGCACACAGATTCTGTCAATATATAAATGTACTTTTGTTGTTTATTTCAGTGGAGGGTATTTGGATCCTGCTTTTGGGTGGCTTCGTGTTCTTTATTCTCTGTTCGTCGTTTCTATACTTCACCTGCCGAGCAGGCACGAAAATTCAGCCGGCTGACAAACGACGAAGTCCGAGTATTTCCGATAAATCTCTAACTTCGCAAGATGGCTTCCTTTCCAGCAGATAACGCTATTTAGTAAAATCCAACTAGTGGTCTATTATCAATGATGCGTTCTGATCGGCTGAGCTATTACTAGGCTATATGTTATAGCCCACTAGTAGCGAAAAGCGCCGGCTTTGAAAACCAAAACAATGGCGGCTGAATCGCGTTTCGGTAGCTTAAGTTATTGTGTCTCGATATTTTTTACCAACTAGTTGAATTTTATTGTAAAACGTCGATAGGTTATGCTACCTTATATCTGCTTGACTCAGACAAGGCTTTTGAAAAGAATTGGTTGATTTAACAAGAAACTGGCTCAGGCAGTTTCATTTTTTGTTTAATGCTTTTATTTTTATGACGAAACATATTGACGAAACTCATTTGAGTTTATGATACTACTTCGTTATTTTTTTTAAAAAAAAATTGCTTTAAAGTTACAGCCCTTTTGGGTGAAAATTTTTCAAATATTCATTGTCAATTCAACATTATAAAAAGTCCATTCCAGTTTGTAAGTAATTATCAATATTAAAGTAAACAGCAATCCATGTAACTGCATTGTTGTATGAAAAGAATCTAAGGGCCCTTTCCAAAAGTCAGAACTGGCCGGCCAGACCGGTCATTTTGAAAATGAAATATTAGTCTTTTCTGGAAATTTTTTACTGAAAACTCTTCACATCCGTGCATAAATATACCATTCACAAATAAACTGATCTGGCTGAATAGTTCCTGATCAATAGTGGAATTCTCCTTACGACTGAACCGGTAAGGCCAGCCAGCTCTGATAAACTGTAAGCGCAGTTAGTCTCTCTCTTGGAGCCAACCTCTTCTTTGTTCTCCGTTGGCATTTGCAAGATGAGCGCGATCGAATAAGGCAGGCAATATTGATCACTCGTAAGCTAATATGCTTTTTTCTGAAAATTTTTGTCCTTTGGGGATCAAAGTATCAGTGGGATCAAATGCTAGTGGAAAACAGTATAACAAGACTATCTGCTAGCTGAAAAACAAATTTAAGGTATTTTCGTAAACACTTTGAGCTAGGCTTTCCACATCTTCTCCACGGCATCCCGCAACAACTTCCAAGACTTGACTATAAAACAAACAAACCGCAAAAGACAACAGTTTCTTCAATAGTAACTTAACATCTTTATGCATTTCACAGTCGTTAGGATCACAAGTCAGCGGGCTCGTTCCCAGACTCCCATTTTCTTTGAAAAGCCTAATAACTCTACTGACGTCCTCGGAGCTCCCACGCATTAAAACTTCCTTAAGGCCTTTTCTCTCGACCCAATTGACTGCCTCTGGGTCTCCGGGATGATGACTCTCATGACTTATATAACAGAAAGTAGTGAGTTCCTGCCGTACTTACACAATGTTGGCGGGCTCATTTCGTCCCTTGACGCAGAGTCCCTTCTCCCATTTTTCTTTCTTTTTGGTTTCAAACTTTGTTTTGATGTACTTAAATCCGGCGTGGGTAGGACGTATATCACACCATGGCGCATCTGAACACGAAATAATGATATTAATGAAAAAGATAGATGTATACACGCTAAAAATACGTTAAAATCTGTCTGTCAGGTGCCTGTCTCATGAAACCTCAGTTTGGAGATACTAGCCATTAACTGGAAGGGCAACCGCCCAACACAGAGCTCAGTGCAAACAAAAATATAAACATTATTGACTAACTGCAACAAAAAGTTTGGCTGGACTAGCCAGCACGGCAAATAAATAAAGAAAATCTTTTATACGAAAACCATACCTGTTTCAAGTAACAGTCTATCGGTAGGAATTGATTTCATGGCCTCAATGTTCTCTTCAGTTTTCAGCGAACTAAAAGACAAAAATGATCTTGGAAACAGAGCACTTGTGACGTGATATCAGGTGAACACTTTAAACTGTGGCCATCGGCGTTTTCCCCATTCTATTCCGCTTAGGAAATTATATTTTGATTGATGTCTTCTCTAAATCAGAGGCCGCAAAAGCCGCAAAACGTTAACGACACTCGTTTTGAAACATCGCAAGACTCGCAATGACATTCCCCGCAGTTGCATGATGTTTATCGTTAAAATAATACTAAAACTTCTTTGTTTGGTCATGACGTTTGCTTGAAAGGCCGGCTAGATACCTTCTCAAGATTCTCGGCATTCAAGATACATAATTCCGTTAGCCTGTGGGTTAAAATAACGAGAAAACCAAATGGCATCGGGCGTCCATCTTGGTGCTTCGCGCGAAAACAGAGCAGCAACTCTGCAACCGGATGTGATGTCATAAATCGGTGGATCATAGGTACACGAAACAAGTACCGGGCGCTATTGGAGTCGTGGGCCCCCCCCTGTGTGATATAAATCAACGCCCTTCACGTTTTACACCCACATTCAAGAAATTGAAAATGTAACCTGATAAGGTGTGTGAACCAGGAGCCATCAGAGATCCCGCGTCCAACTACGCCTTTTTTTTTAGAGTTTTTTTCACCGCACCTGATTTTATCCACTGACCAGCAAAATCATACAAGGACATATATACATAGCTGGACTGAGCATAAGCAGCTCAGCTTAAAACGGAACTTAGCGAGCAAACCAAAGCGTACCAACAGGGATAGGTGAACCCTGCTTCAATAGACCACGTGGCTTAAAATGTAAACTAGTAATCCAAGAAAATGAAGTTGACGTGGAAAAAGCTTTACCGTTTACACCCTAGCCTAAAGTTAAGCACAATGTCATCATGCTGTAGTGGTTGAAAACTGCGTCTGACTTACCATCCTGTGATACCGATGTATAAACCTTGATCTAAATAATCAGCTGCCTCTTCCTTTGTGCCGGTGAAACAGTGAGCCTTAAAATTAAATAACAGGGTCGTTGGACATAACTCACACCACGTTTGAAGTAAAGAGTGCATGACATTATTATGCGTCAAGAACGTCATCGACGTCGTGGGTCTTTGCCTTAGTTTAATCTTCTATCACCGAAAATTAATAACTATTACTTTTTTCCTTGGCGCAGTCATTTTCAACTGCAGACAGGTATTACTCTTTTTTCCTGTTCGTTCGTTCGTTCGTTCGTTCGTTCGTTCATTCATTCATTCTCTGAGCAAGTTGTGCATGGTAATGAAGATAAAGGCAATTATGCATCAAGACTCGAAACATGAACATTTCTATGAAGTCCTTTCCCTTCCTCCTCTCTGTCTTTTCCCACAATTCCATTGTTGTCCTTCCTTCTTAGCCTATCGAAATTTGTTTTTGTTCTTTTTACTTCACTAACAATCCTCAGGCGCTTTCTTTAGTTGTAGGATAGTGCATTGTATCGCTGGTGAAGAATGCCAACTCACCACTCCTCCAACAAATCTGTCCCTATTTCGTCTTATTATATCTAATAAAATCATAAAAAAGAAATAAGATACATCGCACTAATGAAATAATAGATTATTTGATGACACGCCAAAGGTAAACTAAACTTGAGAAAAAAATATTGACGTTTAAATTCTCCAAACAACAACAACTTATTTGGCTAGGTTTAACATAATTCAGAGCATTTTTGTAGTGGGTTCGTTTTGCAGTTTTAAAGCAGATGCGTGAATCCAAACTGTAAAAAGCCCCAGATTTCGATATCGCCGGCGAAATCATAAGTCCCGTGCAAACGGACACAACATTGTTGGGAGTTGTTGCGTCCGTTTGGATGTATCTAAAAGTTTGACCGGTTTCAAACTTTGCGCAACAACTCCCAACAACACGCAGCAACATGCAACAGGGCGTACAAACAGACGCAACATGCAAGCAGCATTGTTGGGAGTTTGTTAGCCAACAATGTTGCGTCCGTTTGCACGGGGCTTAAAGTAAATATTTTGTATCCGAATTTAATACTGTCGGATTAAATGATGTGTGTAAACGCTTGGGATTCTGTATAACCTAATAAATCTGTAGTAAATCTAGAAAAACTCCTCATAGTGTAAACTTAATTTTAAACGGTTTCTGCAGCGACATCTGTATCTTTCCAAATACACTAAAAGTAAAGAAAATATTTCATGGGATCCTTAATGCAACTGAGCTTTATTACTTCATCCGAATTTCACATGTCCAAAATTATGGCAAGGTGTAATTTAACACTTGAAGTTTTCACATATTCTTATCACACAAATGCAAAGGATGAAATTAAAAGTTATATATTATAAGTTTTTCTAAAATACATATTTTTAGTATTTCCTGGCAAGACCTTCTACATTAAGTGTAATTGCCATCTTGAAAGCTTACACCCAGGCATCACTAGACGCATCGGTGGTCCAAGATGTAAGTTAAAACCTCCGGGAAGAGGCTGACGGTTCCATTTCACTGCATGCTGATAGTTTATATGCGTCATAACCCACTTACAATAATGTCGTAGAATTAAGCTTACGTTACAAATATTATGTTGTGAAATTTGAATTTTATACAGATATTTTTCAGTTTTGCTGATTAACCAAACTCAACTTCAGTCGCATTGAATGCGGGCTTATTTCGAAAGAGTATATGGATCTAAAAAAGGAAGGCGGCTCGCTGAGTTGCGGCTGCATTAGTCCCTCTTTGTAGATTTAAACCTTACCGATGAAATCTTGATGTGCACTTCTCGAATGTAAAAACATTGGCAGTTTAGTTTCTTCAGCTAATTGAAACTGTTTCTCAAAATATCTAAAATGCAAAGCAAAAAGAAAAAAAGCAATTAAAGATACATATACAAGCAAAGTATGCCTTCTTCAACCACCGCATGGAACGAAAGTGAAGAATGATCATCGCAGTGAATTTTCCAATTTAAGCAATTGGAAAGAAGAAGCCTGAAAAAATCAGGGCTTCAACGGGATTCGAACCCGTGACCTCCGCGTTACCGGTATGGAACATTAGATAACCTGGGACTCGCAAGGAAAGCTACATATGATTATTTCACTTTTCATCAGTTTGAGAAAGATTATCAGGTTGATACTTTCAACTATTGTGAGGACGAACCAGCTAACACAAAAAATCATATAAGCCCTTTTTGAGATAAGGAAATGAACTTGCAACACAGGCTCTACTGATACAAGTAGTTATGAAGCACAGTGGTTACCAAGACAGTGGACTTTACATACTTTAACTGAATTTCCTTTGGACAAAAATGAGTACGGTCATAATCTGACAAACAAAAAAGAACAAAAGAGTTGACTTCAAAACTGGGTTTCCATAGTAGCGAAGTATACTTCGCGCTTACTTTAAACCTTTTGACAAGGTAGCAGAAACTATTTATGTTAACTTTGCTTATCTCGGTATATAAGAGACGGCTTATTGCGTGGCTGTTTGCAGAGTTGACATATACACAGGAAGTACCGAGGTGTCCCAATGGCACAAAGCTGACAACTGTAAAAGCACCATTTTATCAATGACAAAGTTGTAAAAACCTTTTCATTGATATTCTTTGTTTGTATCCTCTCCGGCTCACTCTAAAGCTGAATTTAATAAAATCAAAAGAAGCTTACTAGCAAGCTAAATTACCTTCTTTGAAATAGTAATACTACTTCAATGTTATAATTATGCTACTTACATTACATATGAGAGAGATGTTTCCAGTCATTCAAACAGTCGGCTCGAAAGGAAAAATTTGAGTACTAAAGTCGAACCTATGACCGTTTGGTTACTCAGTCCAGATGCTCTACCATTGAGCCACAGGAGACTCGTGGGAGCTAAGACCAATAAACTAGGTTTCTTCCGAACTGCCTCTGTCACTGGCTGAAAAACATCTTTCTCAACTATTCACTAGGCTTAAAATTCACCATCACATTTCTGTCATCAAGTTATAAAATTATAATATCTACTGGTAGTAGTGTGGAGCACACTCGAAGCATATAATATGCTTCTGAGAGTACCAACAAGGCCTCATTTTTGAGAAATTGTTATCTTGAAATACATTAGTGTCGATGATATCATATATTCTTGCTTTAATTTTTGCTTTTGTTCTTAAATGCTGTGGATTAACACGTTGGACAGGTTTTCTAGTTATTCCTAGGTCGATGAATGTCTTTATTGGTTCATTTAAGTTGTCGAAGAAATAAGCGCTAACCCGCCTGTGAGTTCAAAACGCTGAGTCGTAACGTAATTATGCAAGTTCTATTTCCTGTTGCTGTCATTGTCCAACAAATGGTTCTAGTTCCCCTTTACTGATTCTTGGCACCCAAATCGTACATATTAATGAGTTTGAAGGCAAGCTAACTCTCTATAGTCCTCTGTCACCAAGCGATCATATGTGATTCTCCACATTAGAGATCGGTGCTCGATCACAGGAGGTTTGGTCGCTGCTGTTACAACTGGGTTAGGGTTTAGGTTCATGTTAACTGGGTCGCACCCTGGCACTGTGCATATCCTGAAAAAAAATCTACTTTGGTGATCCCTTACCTAAACCACATTCACCAACAGCTACCACTTTTCCTTTATTGTCCTGAGCGATAGTAATCAGTTGATGAAGATAATCACTTGGATCCAGTCCATCTTGTTCAAATTCACTACAACGTGTTGGGTGGCAACCAACAGTGCAGTGAAAAGATGCTACACGAAAAAGAAATAAAGGAGGAAAGAGATCATGAAGACAGCGCACGACAGCAAAGAGAAAACTTTGAGAGAGTAATAAAAAATAGCTACCATTTGTTCTGGCAAGTTCTAAAGCATTTTGACTTTCAGATAAATTTCCTGCTGTGATAATCATCTGGAGGAGAGAGAAGGAATTTGTTAAGTACATAATTTACCATATTTCGTAGATTATGAACAGAAATGGTAATGCATCAGGGTAGAACATTCCTCATGGTAGGAGACTATCTACTCGCTTGATTGTTAGCCTGAGTAGCAGGCGCTTGATTAGTAAGGGGCGCAAGAAAGGATGCGTCCTTCCTAGTGCCTGCTACGCAGAATACTTGACTGTTAAACAATGTCCATCTCGTAACGCAGCAGACATATAGTTACAATCGACGTTGATACAGTGACCAGCCATGTTTGATCCACAACCCCGGTAATGGAAACCAGAACTCGTAACCCTAAACCTGTAAATAGCGGTCTTAGACAGGAGGGAAAACAATGACTGGCTGCTTGACAAAGAGAACAAATGTGATTGAAGTGTTAATATAAGGTTCCAGACAAAGAATCGAAAACTTACAATCAAGACATTTGAGCAAAACCAAAAAAAAAGTTCACATCGAAAAACCACCAGAATAATCAAGTTTACAAGGGTGGAGAGGAGAGGAAAGGTTTGCGCACCAACCATGACAAAGCTTGGTTATAGGTTAAAAGCTACCCGTGAACTGGAACGAAACGATGCGGAAAATTTGTCCTTGTGTTTATCCGCCGTCATTCCTAGCAACGAGGAGTTGTAAAACCAAAGCGAATTTGCATTAAGAACGATATCGTGACCGAAATAAAACCAACGAAAGAGGAGAGATTTCAACAGCTTAGGCATACCTTCGATTATCTAAACTAGTTTTCAACCTGCTTCCACAGGCCGTCATTTTTCAGTTCAGCAATAGGTGCTTAGATTCTGGGGCACGCTGTGGTTCAAGCAAGTTTTGAATTTTTAAAAATCATTACCGTGTTTCTACGCTTAACGACTGGTGCTCAAAAGAAATTTATACTTCCCAAGTACTCGTAATAACAACAACAACCATGGCTTCTTACACTACTTTTGGTATTTTATTCTTTACAAGAAACATCATCACATTGAATGGGCAGTTTCCCTCCAATGGTTGTTTTAACACTGAACAGTCTAAATTTACGTAGGGTTAATGTGGCTTTTGATCTTCAATTTATGACTCAGAATATTGCCAATAAACGTCCTCTTCTAATTAGACTAAATTTAGATGCTTTCTGTTTCAATCGGTTACACAATCAGCGGGCAGCGCTGATCCACCCCTTTATACAACTCTATTCCGGCATTAAGCGGACTATGTTGGCTCCATTAGGAGGTCCGGGAGGGTAGTCACCTTTGTATCCTCCACCCTGTCCAGTCCCCTTTCCCGAACCTTTATTAGCAACTGTTTGGCCGCTGACTTTGATGAAGATCATCCGGGCGCCAGTTACCGTGTACAATCTATGCGCCTCTTGACCAGTTGGTGGGTAATTTGTCTCGCTCTTGGCAGCTTGCCCAGCATGATTACAACAACCGCATGTTGGGATAAGTATCATAAAAGAAATATCATGTTGTGGCTTCTGGGACGTACAGTAGACATGAGCTGTGGCGCGGGCGGGTTGTGGACTGCTTGGTGTACAGCGTTGGTTTGGGCAGTTGTAAACACAACACTTCTCGTCGGTGACAGAATTACCCGTGCACTTTTTCCACAGTTCACCAGCGCTTCCAGTTTGCACTGGCGTTGCGATAGTTGTTGCACGATCACCGGTTGTTAAAACTGCATGAGTAAAGGCCAATGACCAGCCCGGCTTTAATCGATAGGTTCCGTCACGACGGTCATCAAAAGCGTCTTGAAAAACTTGTGAAGTAATGCCAAAGGACGCTGGAAAAGAAGGACACGTACCGGATGATGCCGCCATGTTTCTCAGGGATGTGTAATCGTGAACTGCTTTCCTGTGCTTTCCCTGTTCTAACTGATAGGACTGTTTATATGCAAAAGGATAGCTTGGGCGTGACATTGTTAGGTATTTAAGATATTTTCCGCATTTGAAAGTTATACACCAACAGATCTCAAAACAGCTGACGTTTTTCGATTTCAAGCCCTAGAGTGGCTAGCATTCGAGTTCCCTGCCCTACAATCTCTTTGCAGCTTGGTGGTTCCAGTGATGTTTATACTTGCCACTGGAACAGGATTATTATCCTCTTATAAAAATACACTCGTTGTATGCTTCCTCACTGAGCGCATGAGTCCATGACTGTTCTTTGTTGTTAACATTCCGTATTGCCTTATTCTTATATTTTGCAAAATTTTGTTTTCAGCAACTTATTATGTTTTCTCATTAAGTAAGGTTTACTACTGAACAACGATGTGGATTTTTTTTCAAACAACTTTTACGATAATAGCTGATGTAAACCAAAGCTTATTTGCTACGAACCTGTCTGATTTTTTACTTAACGAGTAACAGGAAGTTTTAACAGACGTATTATTTACATCCGCTCTTTAAGTAGCGGATACAAACTATACACTTCCCGTCCTACTTGAGGTTGTTTTAGGTTCATACCTAAAGAGAAGTTTCATTCTTGTGATGTTGATAAGTGCCAGGAGCAAAATGTTCAGACAAAAAGTACTACTTTGCAAAGCCTTTTTAAAATTTCGACAAACAAAATTCATATTCAGACAACCATTTTGCCGTCATTCCAAAGTAATGAAAACAATCACCTTAAGAGAAAAGAAGTCATTAGTCATCTCGGGAGTGAATATTCAATAGTTGTTATTTAGAAAGGAAATATGCATTACTGACCAAGGGTTAGGTCAGTCAGCATGGCTGGATATTAGCCAAGTTCTTTTTCAAGTTTTCATGGACCGAAGTGTAGCGGTTGAGATCATAACAACACAAAAACGAACAAGATTAATATTCATCCATCTTGACCGAACAAGCTTTGTAAATTAAGGATTATGTGGCGGCCAAGACAACTTTTTTCTTCTAAGATCAACGCTGGAAATATAGGCCAATATCTTGCACTCCAGTGCGGTCAATCACAACAAAGAATTAGTTTTATTTTGCCCGCTTGCGGATTCAGCCACATAAAAGCAAGCACTATTGCATTAATGTAGCTAGTTTAGAAAACAAAACCTGAAAGGAAAAAATTAAAAATGCCTGAGCTTTTGACCTCTTTTAAACTCTTTCTCCTGTTCATATAAAGTGCTATATTATCCAGAAGCAATTTAAGCTAATTCAAGCCAAATCTATGCTGTAATAAGCCTCCCTTTTTTCTGAAAGTAAAAAACTTTCGGATGACATCGTGTCGAAGTCCACAGTGTAGTACTTTAACTTAAACTTTATTGAATTCGTTGCATGTTATCAATTAATATGTACACAAAAAATATAAAATACGTTAAATAGAGAAAAAAAGTAAAATAAATAAATAAATAAATATTGCAACTGGGGCAGGAGACAGGACAATGTCCCAATTGATATCTTGCCCCAAGAACCAAATGAAACAAGACGCTACGAAGCGTACACTTCGGCGTCGTGGTAAATGCGGAGGAATAGTAAGAAATGAAATATGGTAAGAGTAAGGTGTTAATTTGTGAAATTATGGGATTTGTCAAGATATTCTGAAAAAAAACAACATCCAAGAGGCCTACTTGCCAAAAACTAGCATTTCGGGACAAATTGTCTCTGAGATACTAGCCCAGTTATGCTCTGATGACTCCATACAAATCCTTCTAAATTTGACTTGGGTCTTAACGTTTACACCTAGGTCAAATATGAGGTTACTGGCGGTGAATAACAAGTCTAACAAAACAAACAGTGAAAAAAGAATTCTCTATTTTTCTCAGTCACATCAGGCTTCAAAAACAGCATGGCAGTCTCATGTACTGATTAAAGAAATGTAAGGCATGGGTAAGGAGTCAATTACGTTGAGCATGGAATTGGCTAAAACTCAGTGTTACGAGTTCGAATGTTTTGAGGATAATTATTCACTGACTATCAGCACGCAAAGATGTGGGATTAACTCAAGGAAGTTTAATAGCAAAGAAACATAGCCTTTACACAGAACTTGAAAATCGACCTTCGTCATACTTGACTAAACACAGCAGTCCAGCTCGTGGGAAAAAACTTACTTCGTCAAAAGAACTCGCTTGGAACTTGTATACCGTTTAACTTAAGGTTCTAGAAAATACTAAACAGGCGAATAGTAGTAGCTTTTCGACATATTTTATGATTTCAGTAACGGATGCAAATCTGCTGACTCATGCTGAAATGTAAACATGCCCTAATTAATTTTTCATGAACAATCCAAAAACGTAGAGAACGTTCGAGAAAGTCACGCAACGCATGGAAGCAATTTTACTACGTAACACTCAACAAAGACAAAATGTCTTTGTGCAGCCTTTTGTAACGTTAAATTCATCATAAAACAGTTCGAAGGAGGTATCACTCTTGAAATGTTTTTCAACACTCGAAGAGGAATTTCGTGTCTCCGCGTGGCCACGTAATATCCTCTATTTATTCCTCGAGTAAATTAAAGACTAAACTCGAAGTGATCTCAAGATATCGCGAAGTAGTCCGGTCTCAGTTCGTGAAATAGCCGAAACAAGCCTAAAAGTCACGAACTTGCTCGCCCAATCTTGGCCAAAACTAGTGCATCATTTCCTAACTATTTTTGATATTTCGAACTACCCTTTGTGGTAGTAGCGCAATCGGCTAATCCCTCAGCTAGCTATCGATCTATACTAAAAGGAGTGTTTTAAATAGTTTTTGTTTGCATAAGGTATATGGTAGTTAAATTTGCATGCATTGCGCGTGCGATGGCGTATTTCCGTTTGCCGGAAAAATCTTGATGGCCGAGATCTACGTGCCCTGCTTTGGCTTTAAAAATAAGGACCAGGTTTTTCAAATCCCTTCTATTCTCCATTGGCAATAGGTCAAGTTTGAGTAACCGATCCTTATAATATGTCTTTCGGATAATTCAAAATAAACTTCGTAGCTCTGCGCTTGACACTTTCTAAAAGAAGTTTGTCCTTACAAGTGTAAGGGGACCAAATATCACTAGCGGATTCCAATTTGGGTCGAACAATTGAACAGTATAAAAGTTTCCTGGTGTCAGTGTTACTG